AACCCCCTTCCGCCCCCCTAAATCTGCCCCTGCTGGAAACACATCAGGGAAATTCCTCACTACTGGTACTGACTCAACTATAGGGGTATCAATATTGACATCTCTCACATAGGCTAGATATGCGTCACTCCCCTTCTCAACCATTCACTGAGCTTTAAGAAATGAAATAACTCTATTGGGAGTGTAATCTAAGGTACCCATTCACTCTAATCTCGGGAAACCTGACATAGCCAGCATCATAGTCTTGGCGTAATAATCAAGAATAGCATAATGGGGTGACAACCAGTCCATGCCCAAGATAACATCAAAATCTACCATATTGAGCAATAATAAATCGGCTCTGGTCTCAAAACCACTAAGAGTAATCAAACACGACCGATAAACACGGTCTAAAACAAGAGAATCTCCCACAAGCGTAGACATATAAATAGGGGAACTCAACGAATCCCGAGATACGCCTAATTGTGGGGCAAACTAAGAGGACTCATTGGAATAAGTGGAGCCTAGATCGAATAGAACTGATGCATCTCTATGACAGACCGGAACAATACATGTGATGATAGAATCGGAAGCAACAAACTCTGTATGAGCAGGAATGGCATAGTATCTGGCCTGGCCTCCCTCTCTAAGGCAACCTCTACCTCCCCAACCTCTACCCCGAGCTGGCTGAGCAGGTGGGGTGGCAGCTGATGCCGTAATCATGGCCTGAGTACCCTCTGGAGAATTCTATGGCTGAGAAGTCTGTGGAGGCACACCCCTCCTAAGTCTCCACTTGGTGAGTGTCTCTATACTCAAAACAAGCTCTAGGAAGACGTGACAGCTGTGTCTGGCTCGGGCCAAGTTTGCTGGACTGACCGCTGATACCACCTCATGTAGGAGGAACACTAGCTACTAGAGGTGCATAATAAGGCTCCTAAGGTCTAGGAAGAGCTGGAATACCACTGGCGGCTAAAAGAGCTGAATAAACGAGGCGACTCACATAACTTCTACCATGACGAACTGAAGTTGGGGCACGGGCACCAGAATAATGGCCTGACTCTCGAGACCTCTTGGCCTCTCTCTCGTCCATATCCCCAGCAAGCATGCCCTCCACTCTCATAGCAATACTCACCACCCGCTGATACGCGATATCCATCTCTAACTCCCTAACCATGCTAGTCCTGATGCTGGGAATGATTCCCTCAATAAACTAGCGAACCCTCTCTCGAACTGTGGAAACCAAAACCGGTGCATGCCTAGCTGTAACGATCCAACCTATCATTTTAAGCATTTCCATCCCGCTCAGCTATTTGAAGACTTGAGTAGCGTCGTTTTGTATATTATGACTTGCGAGAGTGGTCAAGGTTTGCTTTCAAATGATTCAAAATTTAATTGAAAGAACAATTCATGTTTTGGAAGTTTAAGTTGAATTAATGGATCGAATGGTGAAATATGTGTAAACAGACCCAGAATGGATTTTTGATGATTCTAATAGCTCCGTATGGTAATTTTGGACTTAGGAGTGTATCCGTATATTTATTATGAGGTCTGTAACTAAATAATCTTGAAATGACGAAAATAGGAAATTTAAGTTTGGAAGTTTGACCGGGGAGTTGACTTTTAGATATTAGGGTCGAAATCCAGTTCTAAAAATTTTCTTAGCTTTGTTATGTCATTTATGACTTTTGTGCAAAATTTGAGGTTAATCGGAATTGATTTGATAGGTTTCGGCATCGAATGTAGAAGTTGGAAGATTTGAAAACTCATAATTCAATTCGATGCGCGATTCGTAATTTTGGTGTTGTTTAACGTGATTTGAAGCCTCGATTAAGTTTGTATTATATTTTGGGACATGTTGGTATAATTGGTTAAGGTACCGAGGGCCTCGGGTGGATTTCGGAAGGTTAACGGAATAGATTTCGGACAAAAGAGGCTGCTGGAATTTTCTGCTGCAGAAGTTGTCTTTGGACAACAACTGTGCAATCATGGAGCCTACTTTGGAAGTTTATATCTCAAAATATATAAGGAATCTGTAAATTTCTGACACATAAAAGTTGTATTTCTTGCATCCTAGTTTCTAGAAAACTAAACCATTAATCATTTAGATATTTGTACAAAACGTTATGATAGTTTGAATAAAGGCTGGTAAAGCTGTTTTGAAATTTTTCCAGAAATTTCTGATGCGAGGAGGCTAATTTGGAAGCTTATATCTCGAAATCCATAAGGAATATCAAAATTTACAAAACATGAAAGTTGTAGCCCTTGAATTCTTGTTTCCAGAAAGTGAAACCATTTATCATTTGGACATATGTACAGAAAGTTAGAATTGATTGAATAAGGGCTAGTAAAGCTATTTATAGTGCACCTTTAGCGGCTGGATTGACACTTGTAGCGACGGCTAATTGGCTTGTAGCGACCAGAATCGTATTTTTATTGAACAGTCTTGTTTTTTCCAACTCATTTGTATATTTTTGGACGAAAAAACACGGTTTGGGGTGATTTTTGAGTAAGAAATCATGGAAAATCTTGAGGTAAGTCACTTATGATCATTTCTACTCCATAATATTGAATTATCATCGAATAATCCGACTAGATTATATGTTTTTGAGGTGTAAATTGGGGATTTGGACTTAGGGATTTGAAAATAAGATTTGAAGGCCGAATTGTTATCGGAATTTAGTAATTTTGGTATGGTTGGACTCGTGGTTGAATGGGTTGTCGGATTTTGTGAGTTTCGTCGGATTCCGAGATGTGGGCTCCATGGGTGATTTTTAGTTAAATTTTGGATTTTTGTGAAAAATTTATATTTTCACATGGAATTAATTTCTATAAATTGTATTGACTGAATCACATTAATTGTGGCTAGATTTGAGGCGTTCGAAGGCTGATTCACGAGGCAAGGTTATAACGGAGTAAAGAACTTCACGGTTTGAGATAAGTAACTCTTTTAAACTTAGTGTTGAGGATATGAAACCCCGAATTATGTGTTGTGTGATTGATGCTGAGGTGACGCACATGCTAGGTGACGGGCATGTGGGCGTGCACCCTGTGAATGATGACTCTGTTGTTTCCAGGACACTGTGTAGTGGTCCCACTTTGTTGATATATGTGTTTTCACCATGTGATAAGTAAATTGAGCTGTATATCATGCTAGATATCATGTTTAGGCTTTATGCCGACATTGTTAGGACCCATAGTGGTCGTTTATTGTTGTCATCTTACTGATTTCATTGATATTTCATACTCAATCATATTCATTTATTCATATAATATCTCAGTCTTAGTTGTTATTATGGATACATTATATCATCATTTTTGGGCTGATTTTCATGACATTTTGAGCTCGAGAGACTGGAGAGATTGATGAATGAGTGAGGCCGATGGCCTAATTGTGAGGATGATTATGGGATCGGGCTTCACGCCACAGCATGTTGTTACTGATTTATGATTGAGTGAAGCCGAGGGCCTGATCGATCTATGCCACGAGATGGCTTGTTATAGCGCTTGAGCTGAAGGAGCCCCTCCGGAGTCTGCACACCCCTAGTGAGCGCAGGTACCTACTGAGTGCCGAGTGACTTGGGGGGATTGAGTGATTGTGAGGCATGCGTGACTGTGAGGATTGAGTGACTGGGAGGACTGAGCAACTGAGAGGATTGAGTGACAGAAAGGACTGAGTGAATTGATACTCTGAGAGTATGCATATGGTTTTGTCACTATTTTGCATTGCATTTGCATGCACATTGAAATATAGGCATAGAGATGTACTTTCCTCATGTCATTTGAAAAATAAAATCTTCTATTTTGAAAGAAAGTTTTATGGGAAAGATCATAGTTTTCAGACTTACTCATATTTTGGTGATTTCAGTGAAAATAATTGAGTTTTACTATTATACTTGAAAAGAAAATATTTTTTTTGGAACTGCGAATGAGCTGAGCATTTTATTATTGAGTTATTCCTTGTGATGCTTTAATTATATTATTATGAGATGTTACTGGATATTGGTGTGGACTCTGACCTTGGTACAAGCTTGTCACTACTTTCAACCTAAGTTTAGGTTTGTTACTTATTGAGTACATGGGGTCGGTTGTACTCATACTACACTTCCTGCACATTGCGTACAAATTTCGGATGTCAACGTTGTTGTGTTCGACGGGAGATGACTTGAAAAATGTACCGGCGTCACTGTTGTAGCTGCATCTTGTTCATGGTAGCCTTAGAATTTTAAACTCTGTTTATGTATTTGTCAAACAGATGATGTATTTTTTTTGTCATATCAGCTTTGTAAACTCTATTCTTAGAAGCTCATGATTTGTACTACCAGCCCTGGGGAGGTGTATAAGAGATCATTTATTTTTCCTCAGTAAGTTATATTGTATTGGACTTGATAAGTTGGCTTACCTAGCGAGATGGGTTAGGTACCATCACGACTAGTTAGATTTTGGGTCGTGACACTAGCCAAGCCACTGAATTGGACTGCATACTCTGAAACAGTCAAAGCACCCTGGAGCAACTGCTCAAACTCCATGTGCCATGCATCCCTAAGGCTCTGAGGGACATACTCTCTCAAAAACATGTCCGAGAATTGAGTCCATGTAAGGGAAGTTGCCTCAGCCGGACTGTCCAACTCATAAGTACGCCACCACTGATAGGCTGCTTCTCGAAGCTGTAAGGCAGTGAAAGAAACCCCACTCGACTCTGCTATGCCCATAGTGTGGAGGATACAGTGGCACTCCTCCAAAAATCCCTAAGCATCCTCTGATGCTAGAACACTGCATGTAGGAGGGTCGTACTTCTTATACCTCTCAAGCCTACGTTGTTCCTCCTTTGAAGCTACTGCCGTACCCCCGAGCTGAATTAGGGCTACAGGCCGTACAAGTATAACCTTGGGAATCTGATCAACCTGAACCCGCTGCTCTGGGGTGCAGGCGGCGAGAGTCTGTGCTCCTCCCCTGACCTGAGATGTGGCTGCAACAAGGGGAATCAACCCTGCCTGAGCTAGAGCATTGTATATGCTCATGAACTATGCAAGGGTCTCCTGAAGAGCTGGAGTAGTAATAGTAGGCGTATGAGGTGCTTGTGCTCCGATTGGAGCTGCTGGTGGCTCATCTGTAGCAGCTCGCTCGGGTGCTCTGGCTGCACCATATGGGCGTCCTCAGCCTATACCCCGACCCCTACCTCTGGCGGCTCTAGCAAGGGGCACGAGTGCTTGGTTATCTCTAGTAGCATGTGTCCTCACCATCTGTGAGAGAATAGAAGACAGAAGTTTAGAATTTTGAAGTCAATAATCTTGCACGACAAGGAATCATATGGAGTGGAATTTTTCTAACAGTTCCATAGCCTCTCGAAGATTAGTACATACGTCTCCGTACCGATCCGCGAGACGCTAATAAACTGGCTTGTGACTCACAACTCCTATGAACCTAGAGCTCTGATACCAACTTGTCACAACCCCAAATTCTCCCTTCGCGAACTATCGTGGCGGCACGTAGTCCCTACGACTAGGTAAGCCTAATATTGCGGAAATGAAATGAAAACACGAAGATAACAACTAAAAGATATTTTTAATAAGCAGAAAAGATGCTGCTCGGCATATACAATAATCACTTTCCCAAAACCCGGAATATCATAAGTCATAAGCTACTAAGGAGTCTTAATTATTCTATACATCATTTCTACAAAAAGAAGGAAAAAATGAACATGGGGGATAGAGGGGGACTCTGAGGTCTACGAACGCGGGCAGATGTACCTTGAAGTCTCCTGAAGCAGCAACCACACAACTAGACTCGAGGCTGATAGATAATACCTGGATATGCCCACGAAAACATATGTGCAGGAAAGGGCATGAGTACACCACAACGATACCCAGTAAGTACCAAGCCTAACCTCAGTCAATTAGTGATGAGATCAGGTCAGGGCCCTACTGGAAAATATATAACAAAATAAGGCAGAAATGAAATATCACTATAAAATAAAGACTGAAATTAAACAAGAATGAAAGCGTAGAAGTCAAAAGCTCGGTACACAGCAAATAACAACAGGGGATCTTCCAGGATACCGTCCCGTAGTCCCAAACGTAAATACAGTACAGGAGGATCTCCCAAAATACCGTTCCATAGTTCCAAAGTAAATATACAGTGCAGGGGGATCTCCCGGAATACCGTTCCGTAGTCCCAAAGTAAATATACAGTATAGGAGAATCTCCCGGAATACCGTTCTGTAGTGCCAAAGAAAATATGCAGTACATGGGGATCTTCCGGAATACCAATCCATAGTCCCAAAGGAAATATGTAGCTCAAACATTAGAAATACAACTACAGCATGAAACCCCAATAATTTAGACTAAGTACAAGTTGAGGAAGAAGCAGGAAATTTACTAAGCATGATGCATAGAGATCACATAAATAATTAAGACACATAGACATGTTGTTCTAAACTAAACATGATAATTAGCTATGCTAGTGCAGCTCAATTAAAGGAAAACAGTAATGAAAATAGAGGTTTTTCAACAAATAGCCCGTGTACGCACTCGTCACCTCACGTACACGACGCTCATATATCAAGCAGTACCAAATCCTAAGGGGAGTTTCCCCACACAAGGTTAGGCAATCCACTTACCTCGAACCAAGCTAAATCAATCAGTCACAATTTCTTTCCCATAAATATCCGACTCCGAGTGGCCTAAATCTAGCCAAATCAATTACATAACGTAAATATAGCTACAAGAAACTAATCTAACTAATGAAATCAAAGCTAAATCAAGAAATTAGAAAAATGTCAAAAAAGCCTCCCCAGGCCCATATCTCAAAATCGGGTAAAAGTCACAAAATATGAACACATATTCACTCACGAGTCCAACCATACCAAAATTAGCCAATTCTGATCACAATTCGACCTTCAAATCCTCAATTTGTGTTTATGAAGTTTATACAATTTCTCCCAAATTTCCATCTCAAAGTACTAATTGAATTATAAAATCGGTAATATATTCATTTATATTAACCAAATCCGAGTTAGAATCACTTACCCCGATGAATTTCTTGAAAACCCCACGAAAAATTATCTCAAACTGAGCTCCCAAGGTACAAAAAATGAAATAATAACCTAAGCTTTGGTTATATAGGACATCCTCTGAACTCACCATGTGTGTTCCGCACAATTCCAAGTGCGGCCGCACATCCTAGCTCCTGCGATCGCACAAAAATTGTACGGTCGCACTCTCTTGGTGACTGCACTACCAGGCTTTAGTAATTTGGCCACTCTACGGATTTCAAAATGATGACTTCTTTAACTTTATGAAAACTAGACGCAAAATGCTACAACTTTTGTTTTTCAATCATCTCAAAATTCCTTGTAAGTAAAAAAGTATAAGCTTCCAAAGTCGGAACCGCGAATCTGAGAGTTCCTGAGTGCGGCCACACACAAAATTGTGTGGCCTGCACACTCCTTTGTGGCTACACACAAAATTATGCGGTCCGCATAATTTCCTTGAGGTCCACACTTTGTTTTTGCCTCAGCACTCCCAAAATATGTTGTCCGCACTTCCAAAGACCCCCATAACAACATTATAGTGTCGAAAAGCCCGTACGCGCTCAAAACTCACCTCGAAACTCACCCGAGGCCCCCAGGACCTCAACCAAATGTACCAACCAATCCTAAAACACCATATGAACTTAGTTGAGCCCTCAAATCATATCAAACAATAATAAAATCACTAATTATCCTTCGATTCAAACTTAAAGAACTTGAAATTTCCAAATTTGACAACTGATGCCGAAACCAATTAAACCACATCCGATTGACCCCAAATTTTGCACACAAGTCAAAATCAACATTACGGACCTACTCCAACTTTTGAAATCGGAATCCAATCCCTATATCAAAAATTCCACTACCAATCCAAAACTCCAAAAACTCGACTTTCGTCATTTCAAACCTAATTGAGCTACAGACCTCCAAAATATAATACGGATACGCCTCTAAGCCCAAAATTACCCAACGGAGCTAACGGAGTTGACGGAATTTCATTCTGGAGCCTTCTTTGCACTGTTCCAACTACAGTCCAAATTCTAAGACTTAAGCTCCCCTTTAGGGACTAAGTATCCTAAAATACTCCAAAACCAAAACGAAACCTGCCGGCAGTCACAATAGTAGAAAATAGATATGGGGAAAGCAATTTATAGGGGATTGAGGCTATTACTCTAAAAACGACCGGCCGGATCGTTACATTTATAGTAACCTTGTTTTTGTAAGGGGGTCTTGAAATAATGGATGAGTAACTGTGTTCGAGTTGTAAACTCAACGATTGACACTTGCATTAAGAAAGACTGCCTATACTACATCCATTGGGGTACGATTCTTTCCTAAACTCTATATAAAAAACAGGGTACTTTGTCTACTGCATTGCCCTTTACAACTTGTTTGGATGGTTGTTACATGTTGTATTGTATCGTATTGTTATATTAAATACAATATTTGGTTTGATTGTTACTTAAATTTTATTGTATCGTATAGTTTAAATCTGTCATTACGTAACACTTTATGGAACGACCGATGTGGTGTGGTCGCATCATTTTTTTTTATTTCTTTTTCTCTCATCTTGCCCTTTTTTATTATTAAATAATCATATTTTATCCTTTACTCTACCTTTTTTTAGACAAGAGGGGTTGCTATGATGATAAGCAACCTCCACTTCCAACCAAGAGGTTGTAAGTTCGAGTCTCACCAAGAGCAAGGTGGGAAGTTTTTGGAGGGAAGAATGCTGAGGGTCTATTGGAAACAGCCTTTCTACCCTAGAGTAGGGGTAAGGTCTGCGTACACATTATCCTCCCCAGACCCCACTAAGTGGGATTATACTTGGTTGTTGTTGTTGTTGTTGAACTTTACCTTTATATGATAATATTACCTCGTTCCTTACCTTTTATTTATAATATTGCAAGTTTATTTTTCATATTATTGATGCATGACATCATAAAATGACGACAAAAAATACAATCTAACCAGACATTATATACGTCAAAACGATAGAATACAATATAATACAATATTATACGATACTCTGTGACAGGAAGATGAATGGAGGAGGAGAGAAAGCACTTTAATCCAAAAGTACATGTAATAATGTTAGAAATTTCAAGATTATTATTTACATCAATGTCTTGTCGATCATGTCCTCTTAAATTTGATAGTTCAATATCTGTCTAGCAACATATTTTTAACTTGTTGATCTGATCACACATACAAAGTATCCAAGAGATCCTGATAACTGATGGGCTACTCTGACCTATTTCTCTAAATAGCTAAACATTCTTGTGCACTCATCCGATCTACACATTATTCTCTTACTTCTATCTACATTTGATGGCCGATATAGCCTTTTGGCTATGGATTCATGTAAATTTAAAATTTTGTGGCGATATACACCCTTTATATCTATGGATTCATGTCCGTTTAAAAAAGAATGATCAATTTTTAAATTTGGTAATAATTTAGTTTAATATATATACACACACAACAACCCAGTATAATCCCACTTAGTGAGGTCTGGGGAGGATAGTGTGTATGCAGACCTTACTCCTACTCTGGGGTAGAGAGGCTGTTTCCAATAGACCCTCGGCATCCTTCCCTCCAAGAACTTCCCACCTTGCTCTTGGGGAGACTCGAACTTACAACCTCTTAGTTGGAAATGGAGGTTGTTTGAGGTTGCTTACCATCATATATATATATTCAAATTTGAAATATTATTTTTGATGGTGAAATAAGTTCAGTATAAGGTAAAACCCATAAAAATTTAAATCCTGAATCCGTCTCTGATATCGTTTAACAATTGGGATCATAAAATATTGCGTTCAAATCCTAACAAAGATATTAAAAAATATTAAATGGTTTCTTCTTATTATTTTATATTTTGTGGGCAATTATGCAATACATATGCTAGTGGAAGCATATAGTTGATGGAATCGTCGAGAATACATAAAGGCTGGATTGGACCTCGATTTAAAAATATTGAGCTAAAACGACTTAATATTTATTTTTAATATTGTGTGATATTATCAGCTTTGGGTTAAGCCCGCATAACTTTTCCCAAAATATCTTACCATATTTAGAGATCACTACATCTTATATGTAAGCTTTCAATCTATTCAGCTACCAATCTAAGACTTTGTTCGCATACTCATAATCTCCCATTCAAACTAAGTTCCATGTGGCCCACTACCACAATCCACATGTCTATTTCCGAGATTCCCTATGTGCTACACACATCGTGCATACCCAACAATCTTCCCCTCAAGTTAAGTTCCATATGACCGATCACCATGATCCATGAGTCAGTTTTTGAGATTCATTGTGGCGTCCACATTGTTAGAGTATTTATGGCAACCGACGCCCACAACTGCCTTCTTTTTGTGTTCGCATCTCCAAGCTCATAAGGGTAAGCAAATCGCGTCATGCACCGTCATTCTACCATTGTCGTCATATTCGTCCCGTCGAACTTAGACTCTGATATCAGTTATTAGGCTAAAACAGTACTAATATACTCTTAATATAGTATTATATCGTCTGCTTTATGCCAAGTCCACTCGATTTCCCTCAAAAGGTCCCACACTATTAAGCTATCCGTACAAATTATATGCCGGCTACAAAACTTTTCAGCTACTAATGTGAAACCTTGTTCGCATACCCGTCACCCAACCGAAAAAACTCTGTCGACATTTGATCATGATCATGATACCTAACTTATACTACTAGAAATTCGACCTAAAACGATTGCAGTTGACCGACCGACTTTGTTCGATCAAAAAACTGACTGAAGTCGGTCGGTTTTTCAAAATATTTTATTTTTTAATTTTTTTTACGAAGCGACCAACTTTGGTCTGTTTATTTTGGCGCCAAAATGTGGGAAATAATTTTTGCATCCCGCAAAATTTATTTTTCAAGGAACCGACCAACTTTGGTCGGTTTTTATTTAAAATAAATTAAAATTATATTCAAAAACCAGTCATTTTAAGAAACCGGCCGATTTAGGCCTTATAATTTTATTTTTTAATAAAGCTGACCAACAAAATATAATTAAAGAGTATAAATGAAATAAAAGACAATTTTAAAACAAAATGTACCAATGGTCTAGTGGTAGAATAGTATCCTGCCACAATACAGATCTCGGTTCGATTCGCAGATGGTACATTTTTTAATTACAAGAGGGGTTGTTGTGATGGTAAGCAACCTCCACTTCTAACCAAGAGGTTGTGAGTTCGAGTCTCCCCAAGAGCAAGGTGGAAAGTTCTTGGAGGGAAGGATGTCGAGGGTCTATTGGAAACAGCCCCTCTACCCCACGGTAGGGGTAAGGACTGCATACACACTACTCTCCCCAGACCCCACTAAATGGGATTATATTGGGTTGTTGTTGTTGTATAGTTAAAAATATCGACCACGGTTGAAAAATACCGACCTACTTCGATCGATTTTTTCGGTAATTTTTTCTTTTTTGAAATTTAGTTGACCGACCGAAGTAAGTTGGTTGGTTCTACCGACCATACGATTATCGACCATTATAAATCGATCGATTTTTGATAATTACCGACCAACAACGATTGGTTTTGTCAGTTAGTTTTCCCTTTCTTTTTTTAGTAGTGTTAGTTACAAAGATCTACAAAAATTCAACAACATATTTTGCACATATCAAGGACTCAATAACCCTGCAGATTAATTACTAAGAGCCCCTTTCAGTACTGTCACAACAAGTCGTACTACAATGAACTCGATAGTAACAAGTTAGGGGAAAGAGAACTAGTAGAGCATATAAGTTCTAGAGTTCACTATTGCACAGTGGTTTCTTCCAATTTACGTTTGCCTCCAACGAAATCCAAGGCTATAGTTTCAAGAGGATCTTTTCTTGAAAACTGAGAAGTTGCATGCATCTAACATCATAATAATTACCAATTTACAATTATTAAAAGGTATATAAAAAATTGCGATAAAAAATTTATTTAACTCTCAATATCCAAATACCGCTATGTAAATTGAGACAGATGGAATATAATATTTAAGGAAAAAATTATTTTAAAAACTTACTAGCTTAAATACGCCATAAAGTTGTGCAACTACTAAAAAAATCAAACTTATAATTTAAATATATTATAATATTTATGTGACTACTATAAATAAAAGTTTATATTTACTGACAAAATGAACATCTAATTTAAATTATTTATAAATTTAGAATTTCATTCATTTTTTAAAAGACTAAAATCAGTGTCAGCTAAACTAAAACGGAAGAAGTAAGCAATATTTCCTTGCATAATAACTTGCAATGGCAAATGGGAAATCACAAGAAGAAAGAAGAATATCGAAGGTACATAATCGAAAAGTAAGTACTCTTTCGTCCTTATAAAAAATTTCAAATTCAAATCCTAAGAATAAAGTCATCTTTGAGAAGAAGCATTCTACCTCTTAAAATAAATTTTTTTTATGCGAAACCATATTAATCAATTCTAAAGAAAATATCAAACACCGAGTGAAAAGTCAAAAAAAAAAATTACTTGAACATATTACTATTGGCACACGTGAACTATGTATAAACATGCAAAAAGATTTTATAATTTATAAATATAATAACATTGCATTTATCATAAATCCAATAATTCTAGATCGATCAACTCAAGAGAACCAAATCTAACTAAAAGGAGACCGTTGAGGCACACTTTTTCGACGATGACCGCAAAATTCAGAGGAATTTATTGTTATGCTCGACTTGTTGTACTTTATCAAATTGTAAACTTTGGAGCAGTTTACCATATGTTGTACCTAATACAAATGAAAATGAAGGCCAACTTATTAAGAAAAATAATCGAATAAAGACCATGTCTCCAATCTTACTATAAGTAACGTGGGACTCAACCCCCACCCTCTCGATCCGCACGTTTAAATCTACCAATTGGAGCTTGAACAATATAATATGGGATCGAACATCACACAAAATTAGAAAATCATATAAAAGAAATAAATATAAGACTTAATCCAACCCCAAAAAAATAGCTCAAGACGTAAGGATTTTTAGAGACCATTTAAAGATATCAAGTCCCCCATCGCACTACCAATGTTACTACTTTTACTTGGTGGGCGTTTGGACATAAGAATTGTAAAATTCCAAATAAAGGTGAAAAAAATTTTCAAGTGAAAATGGTATTTAAATTTTAGAGTTGTGTTTGGACATGAATATGATTTTGGGTTATTTTTGAAATTTTGTGAGTGACCCGAGTGAAAATTTTGAACAAAGGAGGGAAAAAATTTTCAAAATGCATCTTCAAGTAAAAATTAAAAATTTTATGAACAAACACTGGTTTCAAAAAAAAAAAAAGAACAATTTTATTGAAAAAAAGGAAAAAAAATTCTTATGTCCAAATTGGCTCTTAGTAGGCTAAAAAGGAAAGAGCTAATATCACTTAAGATGAAATAGATGGGGAAACTAACATGCTAGAGTATCACATAGTATTAAACTATATTGCTTCTTCGTCTCAATACACATGTGAAGGTATTTGATTATACACGAAATTTAAAAAAATATGAATACTTTTAAAATTATGGTCTGAAATAAGTCATGAATATTTGCGTGACTACAAATTATTTCATGAATAGTAAAATAAATATTTTAAAATTAAATAGTTATAAAATATAAAAATGAGTCATATTATTGGGACTAACTATAAAGAAAATAATATCACATAAATTAAAACTAAGGGAGTAACATGTATAAAAAAAAATTTACTCTAACAGGACGAAAATGTAACATTTAATTGGTGAAAAGAAAGAACTTAATGAACGACAAATAATTATTTTTGTGCCAATTAATTCAGAAAATGCAAACCTTGCATGAGATAGAGCAGAAAAGGTTTGAGCGTTGAATGCTTCTGTCACATACAATACAAGTGTAATTAAGTGAGTTCTTGAATTGTCTTGTTATTGGCCTTTGATTCAAGAACACCACTTTAGCACTATTTGTTGTGTACGACTGCATCAATTTGACCAAAGAAATTAATTGAAATATATCATAAAGTCTTAGAAATAAGCCTCTAAAAGCTAATTTAATTAATCAAAACCATATAAAATAATGAACTATTAACTCAGAAAAATACTTATTGCGTCCGATGTTCACATCAAATCACATGCAATAATGATTACATGACACGTATCTTCTCTATAAATTAAAGTAGGTTTGTTTGTATTGACTTGCACGTAACATATAACAACTCTATAAGTTTAATTTTTTAATATTCTTTTTAGTGTGAATCCATTATATTTTTAAAGTTTTCAGTTTATAATATATGTTGCGATTTTAGTTAATTTTTACATATAAAATTGTGTTCTGCACCAAAAGAACTAATAGACTGTTTGACCAAATTTCTTCAAGGTTAAAATACTTTTTTCTTCCAAAAAGTACTTTTGTTTCAAAGTTAAAATGTTTGGCTAAGCTTCTACAATGAAAAAAAAAACTATTTTTAAGTAGCAGAAGAAATTTTGGAAAAGCAGAAAAAGTAGTTTCTCTCTAAAAAAAACTTTTTTGAAATGCACTTTTCAAAAATATATACTTAAAGACAAGTTTTTTACAGCTTGCCAAACATTAATTACTACTTTAAAAGATTTTTTAAATTAATTAACAAAACACAAACTGCTTCTCACCATTTTTTTTTTTTAAACTACTTTTGAAAAAAGTATTTCTACAAATAAGTTGATTTTAGAAGTTTGGTCAAACAAGCTATTAGCCCCTAGATGAAAATTAGCATGATTACTAAGGAGTCGTTTGGTATGAGGTATAAGAAAGTATAGTGCTGGTATAAAAATTTAATACCACCTTAATACTTTGTTTGGTTAACATACCTGATATAAGTTTTTCGGAATTAAAATTAGTGCCGGAATAACTTATACCTTCTTCTTAGAAATAATGCAATTGTCATTTTTAATACAATATATCAAACAGTGAAAAAGAATACCAGAATAACTAATCCCAACATAACTAATCTTATCATAACTTATCTCAGCATAAGTCGTATTCAAACCAAACAACCCCTAAAATAAATAATACTAGTAACTATTAACTAACGAGAGAAAGAATTCGAAAAAGTCACAAAATCATTATAACCATAACTTACTTGAACAAAGGAGCAATCTAGGAGCTTGTCAGCTTCTTTCAAGCGTAAAACATCTTGATAAACGTACCTTCTAATCTGCAAAATCAAGAAATGTACAAACACAAAATCAACATTACAATTGAAGCTAAGTCGGCTTGGAGAATTTGTGCTGGGATGAAATAACAAGAACACATCCAGTGAAATAATCGAGATACACACAAATTAGCTAATGTTAATCGTAAAAGCAGTTATTGATATTTGTATAAGAGTAGAATATCTACAGTGACGTACTTAATCGGTGTCGCAGCTATAAAAAATGGACTAATGAACAAAATAATAAGCAGTGTTATTTTTTTATATTTATCTTCAACATTTTTATTTTTCTTATACAATAACAACAAACCAATATAATCCCACCAGTGGGGTCTGGGGAAGATAGTGTGTATGCAAACCTTGCTCCTACCCTGAGATAGAGAGGCTGTTTCTAATAAAAACTCGCATCCTTCCCTCCAATAACTCTCCACCTCGCTCTTGGGATGATTCAAACTCACATTCTCTTGGTTGGAAGTGGAGGTTGCTTACCATAAGAACAAACTCTCTAGTAAAAAATTTCGACAAAGCAAGTGTTCCGTGATACTGCATATAACAAGGTGCATACGTCCCTGGCTGTCTACATCATACAACTTGATGTGAGATACTTTCCCGAGCCATGCGTAAAAGCAGGTTGCTTTGTGCATCGCACTACTTTTTTATATTATCATTTATTTAATTAAGTGAAAAGTTTGCTAAAAAATATAAGTTTAAAAATGCTAACTAACCTGCAAAAGTTTGTGACAATGGTGAGAAGGCAAGCAGTGGAGGCACAAGCTAAAGCAACAATCCAAACAAAATACATTTTCTTCATTTTTCCTCTCCAATTCATGGACCAAACATGCATTAAAGAATTTCTCACTCAAAAGCACCTCTAGCCATTTTGGAATTGAAATTGAACCATTTCCCACCTTCAAAAAAAAAAAAAATTCATATATAAGAGATCATAAAACCATAGTTAAAGTATTTAATATATCAGCATAATAAAAAAATGTTAACGAAATTTACCATTTTTGTTTTGTTGTTCTTCTTTGTATAGTCGAGGAACAAGAACTTAAGGTTCTTTGTTTGTCTTGCGTAAATGAATGACATCGAAATGGCCATGATATAAATAGGTCAAAGAGGGTGGACAAGAGAGAACAAAAGAAATAAGTGGGCGTTTGGACATAAGAATTGTAAAATTCCGGAAAAAAATAGAAAAAAAATTATGTGAAAATGACATTTGAAAATTAGAATTATATTTAGACATAAATACAAATTGGAGCATTTTTTGAAAAATAATTTTTTGGAGTTTTTTAATTTTCCGAAAAATCCGAAATTCAACTTTAAGTGGAATTTAAATTTTTTATTAATTCCAAAAAATGTAAAAAAACTAAAAAAAATGAATAATTTCTTATAGCCAAACGGGCCCTTACATAAAATCATCAATAAATAGATGACATCGCATGCCTGTTACATGTATCTTTATCACTTAATTCTGATTACTAATTGCATTTTACTTTAATATATTACTCCCTTGATCTCATTTTACTTTAAATATAGTTTCTTCTTAATCTGTCGCAGAAATGACAATTTCTCTTTCTATAAACAATTTAATTCTAATATTCTCATTTTATCTTAAATATAATGACATGATTTTTTGTGATCGTTTTTGTTCTTTTATAAGAAAAAAAAATAAAAAGATATATGACGGTCTCACCGGTACTCATTTAAAGGGATTATTTTGACACTTTGTATATATTTAGTTTACATGACAAAAGTATTATCTAATTTGTTGAATTCATTACCAAATAGTAAAATACTTTCACTTAAAACGAGACTCGAAAGTATTTAGTTAAATTGAAATTACAAATAATTACCGTAATTTGATGCAAAAATTAAATAAAAAGCTTCTTAGAAAATCTATATATATCTATATCTGTATTATTATAAAAACACGAATATTCTACGTTACATGTTGAACGACCAAAATACCTTCAAAATATTGACAGACTTTTATATCCTGAAAGCATTAAATTATTTGTTATAAAGATAATCCCGTATTGGATAAAATAGTAATATGTAGACTTTGCCTAACAGTAGACGTTGAGTTTAACTAAACTTTTAGCTAACATGAATTTATATGGACTTCGAATACCCATCCACGTTGACCTTCTATTCGTAAAATTAAAATGACACAAATTATTCTTTCTTAAAGAGCACTAACTTCATCGTTCCAGAAGGTTATGAGTTTTGAGCTTTGACATTAAATTTCTGCATAGCTGTTGTACGGTCCGCATAAACATAGTAGGCGATTTCTTGCAATTGGTATATGAAAACAAGGTTTAACGATCAATATATCCCCGAAATACCATTTCATTAAAGATAAAATAATAAGTTTATAATTAAAATATTTTTAAATATAAAATATGTCGTTCTTTTTTTTTAACGAACTAAAAAAATGTGCAATATAAAATGGAACAGAGCAAGTATAATATTCTTAAAATATGAATATGAAATAAAAAATAGATACAATCCATTTTTCATATTTACGTTACTCAATATTACATACTCAAAATCTAGAAATAAGTCCACTCTAACACAAATATATATCCAATTTAAAATATTTATAATATTTAACTCAAAATATACGTGGTTATTGACTTAAATAAACATTTCCAAAATAGTTAGGGGCTACACGTGCGAGGCACATGAAATAGAGGGGAGAAATTCAAAAGTAGTCAGATTTACAACTGGTCGTTCAAAAATAACGCAGTTTCAAAAGTAATCGAAATTTAGCAACTTTTCATGTAAAGATAAATCTGAGTGAAAACACTGTTCAAACCCGGAAAATAAGCCACTATATTATGCTGGAGTTCCAGCATAAGTATACTTGAACTCCAGCATATTATACTGGAGTTCCAAGATAAGTATACTAGAACTCCAGCATAATATGATGGAGTTCCAGCATAAGTACACTAGAACTCCAACATAATATACTGGAGTTCCAGCAAATATACTGGTCCAGCATAATATACTGGAGTTTGGAGTACCGGTGCTCCAGTCTCCAGTATATTATACTGGAGCAAGCAAAGTATACCAGTCCGGCATAATATGCTGGAGTTCATACACAGGTACACCGAACTCCAGTATATTATGTTGGACCGGTCTCTGTTGCAGCAAAATAGTTGCTATTTTTCATTGACTTAGTAAATACTGGCTATTTTTGAATGACCAGTCCGAAAACTGGCTATACCGTGCTATTTTTACGAAATAAAGACTAGTAAGATGAAAAGCACAAAAGAGGAATGAAGAACTAAGTTGCTCGGATATAGGTGCGGGTGTCTAACACGAGTACGGATCTAGAGGTCGGATTCTTTGAAATGTAAATTCTAAGATTCAGGAATACGAATCCTAATACAGATATGGGTGCGGGAATCCTGCTAAAAATAATTCAAAAAAAATAAAAATATCTCTAGATATGAGAAATTTTGTGGAATACTTACGTATAACTTATAAAGTGTGGATCTCTCTTTTATTATTAAGTGTGTAGATAAGTAAATGATTGATTTCCTCGATAAATTATACTATTTTCTTCAAATTTACTATAATTTTGGTTTTGATTTCGGAAATCAAATTGTATATATTTCGTCTTGAATTTTTTCGTACATCGTGGTCAGAATTTTTTCGTTCATCTTGAGCAGAGGGTCGTCTTTCGAAAACAAACTCTCTACTCCCTCAGGATAGGGGTAAGGTCTGCGTACTCAGTATCCTCTTCAAACCCCAATTGTGGGATTACACTGGATTGTTGTTGTTGTGTTGGTGGTCAGAGTTTCCAAAAGTGTTTGACCAGATCCGGTACAAATCTCATACTCACACTCATACTAGTATCGTGTCAGGTCGATACGAATATTTCACCTAAACTGGCACGTTGAGCAACTTCGACGAAGAAAGGACTAGAAAGATAGACATATAAACTAGCGAGAAAAATGGAAGGGCAGAAGACTATAAAGCAGAGAAGGACTGCGTTTTACTATTACCAACGAAGCATAATAGTAGTATTTGTTATACTTCATTTAAAGCTCCGCATAAAAATAAAACTTGTACATCAAAGGTACTCATTACACACAGTCACACACTACTTGTCGGCAGTAAATTAGCCAAGAAATGTTACAACAAGATTTCAAAATGAAATCCTTTTGCAGTTTTAGGCTCAAACCTAGCTATACTATTTGCCTTTGACATTAATACACCACAGGAGAAAAGAGATGCACAAATTGATCATAAGATCTATAAATGGCTGCTACAAAATCCTTTCAAAAATAGCCAGAATTTGGATTGAGAAGTGCAGAAAAGTACCATAGGCCATAATGTTTGTTGACTTACTACTCCAATTTGATGGAACATGAACAAAAATTTGGATCTTGGAGTTAAGAGGAACAGATATACGCAAAGGCTAAAGGAGAAAAGACTAGCAATTGGTTGATTTATACTTTGTCTTTGTTCCGATTTATGTCTCGTTTGTTTTATATATGTTTTTGAATGTTATAGTGAATTGTTGTTATAGAAAATATATATAATAACAGAAATAAAATTTGGTTCCGGAAAAACTTGACTTTTATAGTGAAGTGTTGTTATATAAGAATATTGTTATAGAGAGGTCTGACTGTGCTCCCTTCGTCTCAAATTATCTATCGTGGTTTCTAAAAATAGATCAAATAATTTTCAATTTAATATAAATTTTAATTTTTTTTAAAAAATTGAAAAACTCCAAAACGTTAATTTTTTAAATTTTCACTCAGATCACTCACCAAAATAAAAAAAAATCAAAATTATATTCATGTCCAAACACAACTCTAATTTTCAATTAAAAAATCACTTTTGTGGGGAATTTTACGATTCTTATGTCCAAACGTCCACTAAACTAAATGTACATTTTAACAGTATTTGAAATTTAAACTACTACTTCAATCTATTAGTAAAATTTATAGCATATTTGGCCAAGCTGCAAAAATCTGCTTATTTTGAGAAGTATTTTTAGAAAAATTACTTTTGGAGAGAAGCAATTTTTATTTGGCTAATCAATCTGAAAAGCACTTTAGAGCAATAATTTGTGTTTGACCAAGCTTTTTTAAAAAATACTTTTAAATATCAAATTACGAATAATGACATGAAGAGGTTACTCAACAATTAATATTATATGAATAAATAAATAATCTCAAATATTTATTATTAGAGATAGTAATAATTATTTTCATTTTATTTTAGTAAAACATGAAAATAAGATTAAAAAGTACATTAACTCTTTCAAGATGATTTAAATATTTCAAAACATCATTTAACAAATATAAAAACATTCATCTCAAAAGTCACCATATATTAGAAAGATATCCTAAAAATAAAAAGAAATATTTATATATTAGGAGAGTTCAATAATATAATCTCTAATACTAAGTATTAGGTTTAAAATAAGGTTATTTAGATATATACCATATTTTACTAAGGATATTTTTGGTAAGAAGAAAAGTCAAAATTACTTGTGCTTATATTTTTGAGAAGAAGCTACTTTTTTCTAATTCTTTAAAATTGTTTCTACTTTTTCCAAAAGTATATTTTTCCCAAAATAACTTAGCCAACTACGTTAAGTTGGAAAAAAAAAATACTTTTTGAGAAGGAAAAAAACACTTTTGAGATGGGGAGAAGCTTGGCCAAGGCTATTAGTGTTGTACATAACACTCAATCCATGAATTAAATGCAGAGGAAAAAAGAGAGAGAAAGGAACTATAGTGAATATATACACTGTTTGATGGTGATCGAAGACATTGAAAATGAAGGCACATCATGTACAATATTAATTGTGCTCGACTCCATACTTCAAAAATGAAAGTGATCGAGAGCATGTTTGTCCATCGGACAATACAGCTAGAAGATT